GACACATGGCAGTGGGCCCAAGGCGAGCTAAGCAATGTTTACACCCAGAGACTGACTAGTGGCAGGCTCTACCCGCCCATCCCCACAATGGTTCCTTAGGTAACTTTAAAACTACAAGGGTAAAGTTTTCAGAAGGAAGGTACAAGAATAGCAATACACTTCCATAAAACAAACAAATCTTAGAAATTCAAACTGTGATCACTGAAATTAAAGACTCAATTGATGGGCCAAACACTGAATAGATATAGCTGAAGAGCAACTCAGAAAGCTGGAAGATCCATTAAGTAATTCTTCCAGAATGTAGTGTGACAGAGAAAAGCTAAGAAATATACAGAAAAAAGAAACAAAAGGGAAGTGATCTCTTGAATAAAAGGAAAAAAAAACAGATGGTCAGTGAGGCAAACACAGAAGAAAATTCCTCTGAATTAAAAAGCTGCCTCTGAACAGGACTGAGATAAAGATCCACTCTTCATAGTGTGGTGAAATTTCAAAATACCTAGGATGATGATAAATACCTACCAAAGTAAATAAATAAAAAAGGAGATCTTAAATAAATACGAGATCTTAGTTAAAGCCCCAACACAAACAAAGCATCTGGTTATTTTACTCAGTAGCAGAGGAGTTTAGATGACCTCCTTCCTTTCCACTTAACCTGTGAGTCATTCCAGGTGACGTCATAATCAGTAAGTTAGACACCCAAGCCATTCACTTGTATTTCACTGCTTTCATCTCCACCCATTCTGGTGAACTCGATAAACACACTTGCATTAAGATCTGGAAGTGTCACACTATATTCTCTTCTGCCTGCAAACCTCCCACCACCTTCCCATTAAACAGGGCATTTAATGTCCTTTGATTTGCAGTCCCTTGTCTTCAACTCATTCTCTCATCAGATCAGCATTCCTGATTCAGTTTCTTTCCCCAATTTGCCATACATTCCATAATCATTAAGAGTCTCTCTCAAGTTTTCATACAGCCTGTGCCATGCTAACTGGTGACTCTCAAACTACTCGGCCTGCTCCAGGATCTATAAACTCCTGGCCTGCCAAGCCCATGGCACAACCATGTTGACTAGTTCTCTTGCAAATATCTGATCTTTTCTTTCATCTAAGTCCTCAATGGCCTCAAAATTGTCTGACAATTTTTTTTTTTCTAGTCAGTTTCTAAAGCCATGTTTCACATTTTCCAAAACACCAGTATTCTTTCAAAGTTATCTGACAATACTTTTTTCATCTCTGGTCAGTTTCTATGCTCATGCTTCACAGATGTGGTTCAAAACTCTAAAATCTTTAGTTATTTAATGGCCCCATGCTCCCCGCATTTCCAACAGGGTCATAGTATATGATCAGGCTTTTCTTTAAAAAAAATTTAGGTATTTTAATAGAATGCAGTGAAATATTTTAAAAGACATTTAGCAAAAGCATTTTTAACATAGAAAATGAAATACCATCTTCTCCTTTATCTCTAAGATTAATTCACCCTTCCAATTGCACTTCATAGAACCAGTTGCCCTCTGCCTCAAACTTTCTCTTTGTCCACAGCACTCTCCTGGTTCTTCTCCTACTCTGGACCTCTTTACTTCCTTTGCTAACTTCAGTGTCAATGCGCTAGCACACCTCAGAGCTCTTTTCCTTTCATCTCTTTTCCTTTCCCTAGGTGATTTCATCCATTCCCACAGCTTATTCCAGCCACATGCTGATGACTCTAAGTGGTGATCCAAAATATAGTGAATGTTACTGCAAAGTGCCACCCAAGGGAAAGGTATATCTTCACCCACCATATCCACTGGATTTAGCGCCATACAACTTCTGCAATGTCCCTGAAGTTAAAATGACCATGGAAGGTAAATATCTGGAGGTGATTCAGGACACTGAGGCAGCCATGACAGTACAACTAAAGGCATGAAAGAAAACTTCCAGAATTATTTCAGAAAGTGGCAAGAATAATGGATAAGTGTCTCTGAAGAAAAGAGGAGTATTTTTACAGAAATTAATGACAATGTATATTTTACTGTAATAGTTTTTAAAAATGGCGCGTATTCACCATATTTTTTGATCACACTGCATATACAACCACATTTAAGAATTTTCCAGAACTAAAGATATCTACCCACAGGGGCGGGGAGCGTCGGTCTTCTGGCTGGCTAGCTTCCTGCCTCATAGGCTCCCGGAGGGAGGGTCCCAGGCACACGGGGAGCCTCGGGCAGGAAGCGCCAGTCTTCGGACCGGCGGCTCACTCCTGGCCTCGTAGTTCCCCAGAAGGAGGGCTTCCGGCGCACAGGGAGCCACAGGCGGGGAGTGCCAGTCTTCCAGCTGGCTAGCTTCCTGCCTCGTAGGCCCCTGGAGGGAGGGCCCCCAGTGCCCGGGAGGCCACAGGGTGGGGAGCGCTGGCCCTTGGGCCAGCCCCCAGCCTAACGGGCACCTGCGAGGAGGGGCTCTGGTGCACAGGAACCCACACGGTGGTGAGCGCTGTTGCACGCCAGCCCTCAGGCCGGCCACCACTGCTTCGCTGAGAACTACCATGACACAGAGAAACATTGACACAATTGGCCCACCATGCACCAGCTGCAGATGCCCACCCACAGACATGTCTGAATCATTCAAACATGGAAAAACCCCTAGGAATACATGCCATACAACAGGTCACTCTTGCTCCTGCCATTGAGAACCAGAAAGGTGCACAGTCAGTGGAGGAGCAGCTGGTGAACAAGGACTCGGAGAACATGAGAAAACAGACTAAGCCCGAGGAGTCAGAGGTCCTCTGGACTGTGTTCATGAAAGCCGTTCAGAAGCTGTAAACCAGGAGGACCTTGCACAAAACCTGCGGAGACTTTCTGGAAGCCATTCTTCCCCTGACAGTACAGGCTTTGGTGGAGCTCTGGAGAGGTCTGCAGCAAGATTCCTGCTGTCTGTGCTGACAGTTGGGGAGAGGACACTAACTGGTTGTGGGGTCCCAAAGCAATGGGAAGCTGGAGAGAAAAAGCTACAAAGAATGGCTTTCACCCCAGACAGCTCACTTGAGATGTTAGTAAGAATTGCCTCCTCAGTATTCTATAGCCATGAGGAGGAGGAGGCCAAGGAGAGAAAACAAAGAGACTGAGAAAAAGCAGCTGCTTTTGCTGCACCACTAAGAGAAAACAGATCCCAGGTCTGATTCCCGGGGCTCCAAGAAGAACTCGACAACTGCATTCTTCGGTTACCACTGTTAAAAGCCAGGCCACCTCAAGAGGAACTGCCCTAAGAGGCCCCATGGGCCATGCCCTGGATGCAAAGGAGACCACTGGAGATCGGTCTGCCCTCTGAGGTGGAGGCCCCAGAGCTCAGACCCATGCTACCAGTTAGTCCAACAGGAATGAGAGGGCTTGGGGAATAGTCTGCCTTCTCCCTCTGGCCAGACCGTCATCTCCATAGAGGAGTCCTGGGTAATCATGACTATGGAGGAACAAGAAAACAGCCTGTTGCTAGACACAGGTGCAAGTCTCTTGGTCCTTCTTTTCAATCCTGGCCTTCCTTCCAGCCATCATACCTCAGTGAAAAGAGTCACTGGTGAGGAGGTAATATGCTATTTTTGACAACCCTTAGGCTGTAACTACTTATTAGATCCTTCTTGCATATCTCTATCTTCCTGAGAAACCACTTTGAAGATACCACCACATATTACAGCAGCCATTGATATTTTCCTACTAATCTATCCATAACTGTGTAAAGTTTGTAATGTTCCTATCCTATTTCATAAATGGATGTATGTTTATTATTGTTTCCTACAACAATCATTGAGAATAGTTAATGATTTTTCAATAGGTCACTCATGTATAGCTCTATTTATTTTGTTTAGAAGCCACTTTGAAGATACCAAAGTATAGTACAACAACTCTTGATAATCTCCTACCTCTTTTGTCTCTAACTCACTATTATTTGTCTATTTGTTTTCCTGAGAAACTATTTTGTAGACAACAATATGTAAAACAATAACCATTGATAATTTCCTACCATTTTGTCTGTAATTTGCTAAGTCCTCCCTATTATTGTTATCCTTCTTTTACTCTTTAAAAAAAAAAAGACATCTACCCACAGATTCAGTGTGCACACTGAACACCACTCAAGGAAAATGAAAACAAATCTGCCTGTAAACACATCTGGGTAAAATAAAGTCTTAAGGATAAAGAGAAAATGTAAACTATCCTGGAGTGAAAAGACAAGATTGCCTACAATGGAAGGAAAATTACACCAACCGCAGACTTCCATATGAGAGGATGGAAGATAAGAAGTTAAAAATCTTCCAAGTGTTGAAGGAGGAAAAGAAAAATGCTGAACCTAGAATTCTGCCTGCTAGTGTTCAATAAAATGGACTTTTTCAAATTAAAAGAAAAACCTTCCCTCTTCAGACTACCACCAAAGTAACTGCTTTACATAGAACATACTTGAATATTTCAGTGTGAAAATAAGTGAGTCAAAAGGAGCACGAGTATTTATTGATAATGACTGAGTCTGGATTCCACCTAGAAAATATAAGATGTGTGATATGTATGTTCCACTGAAAGGTCCCGTGGCCTTAAGAAAAACAGCTCAGTAGAAAGAAATAAACTTTGCAACAAAATTATTAGCAGGGCTCTGGCTAATTTTAATTGTTTCCTTGGATTTTTGTAGAATTTAGTCCCAGTTTTGGGCTATTCAAATTTCTGTAACTTTAAATACAAAAGGAAAGAAGCACTGCCAAGACAGCAATGTTAAAAGTATTTACCTTTTCCTTCCATTGCAAAATAATTGGTTTTACATATTTACAAAAATATTAAAATTATTTTGCTATATAATCTTTCTTATTTTCCAGATGATCTGAAAATATTTCAGAACTCCAATGACATTCATTTAATCTGCCTAACACTGTGTCCTTACTTTATTTCTTGGTAAATTCAACCAAAGACTAATTTCACAAGGTTAATTCACAGTACGCTAATCTAAGACGTACCATGAGAAAGAAGAAAAAAAGACTCTTAGCCAAGATGATGATTACATATTTAATATATCTTGCTTGTAACAGCAATTTTCAAAGTAAACACATCATAGACCTTATAACTTATTAAAGACTTCATAGTGCTTAAAAAGTTGATTCTAAAAATATATCTTATTTGTTCTAAATGAATAACATTATCTGGAAGATAAAATAATAAATTATAGTAGTACATTTACCACCACTATAGTTAAGTTTGTGTACACATATTCAATATGAAATCCTCTTAGGATTTTCACACTTTCAGCCTTAAAACATAAAACATTAAAGTTTGGCATACAAGATTTCAGTCTGATAGCAAGTTTTAAAACCAAAAATTTAAAAGTATCTACATGACATTCTAGGAGAGCATGAGCACATGCACATACATATACACTCTCATTCAATCACACATACCACACACATGCACACACACGCTCACCAAAATACTCAGAAGATTTTGCTCTTGGGTATCAGACATTGTCAATCGTTTCAAAAGGAACAACTAGGAGGAAACTTAGCTAAAAATACGTTTAAACCATACTTAAATGGCTCTAGTTATTAAAAAGGCATGCCCCAAACTCTTACCAAATCTTTAACATGCACAGAATACCATCTCAATTCATCCTTTAACAGACTTGAACGATTCACTAGTGGACACGAGTACATAAGAAATTATGCACCCATCCATTCCCCAGACTGCTTACGATAAGGTTGCAAATCCACGCATTCCACTGACAATGAGTCATAAGACTAAGCCCAGCTAAAGTGGTTTGTTTTACAGAACCTTAGATTATAGACCCCAATAGAATTAGAAACTTCATTTTGATCTGTTTGGAGTTTCTTATCTGTCCCATGTGCAAAAGCAGTGTGAGATTCGGTACTGCAAATAACAGCTAATATCACTTTCTATTTCATGACAGTGCAAAAGGTCACTTTGCTGTTCCAAAACATATATTTATTCTAATTAAATTCACTAACTTTTAATTAAGTATTTTCTTCCAAGTTTAGATTCAAAATAGTTTAATGGTGCTTATCATCTGTTCATCACATATAACTCTAATAAAATGTGTCTAAACAGAAATTACTTTCTTGGCTCTATCCGGTAATGCAGGTTTGAAACTCTTCTCTATCAAGGTTCATTTTCATTATATTCTGAAATATTTAAAACTCTTTGAAACAACATCAAAATAAAAACCAACCATACATTTGGGCACTCATGACTCAACTGCTATGATTGGAAAAACAAAAAGGTACAACAGTAAGTGACAGAGAAAACACCAGCTTCCCATTTATTTTTATTTTTGGCGTTCTTCTTATTTTATTTCACTAAATTTACAAATTGTTCAAAGCATTCTTAGGCTCTGGATGACAGTAATAGAATATTTTGGCACATTAACATTGTGATATAGTGTATGGTATGTTTAAAAAATTAATTTAAAAAATGTATCTGCTAATCAACATCTTTAATGTAACGCACATATATCTTACAGTTTTAAGTCAAATACATAAAGGTTTGTAACTGATTTACAGGTGAAGCAATCACAGATTGCAGTAGTAATGTATGTTGTGTGTGTGTGTTGTGTGTGTGTGTGTATATCTATACACACAAATCAAGCAAAAAACTGCATCCTGGCAATTTTACAGTCCAAAGTTTTGTTTATATAATTTACATGCTCCTTTTCTTGGTGTTTTTCTGTACAAAATATATATTTTTGCCTTCTTCATTCTTGATGAGATTTTTCTGCAATAACTTTACATTCATACTGCAAAAAGTAAAAGTTAAAAAGTTAAGAGATAAAATGTCTTGGAATTGCAACTTCCAAATAAACTAAAAAAGGTTCCATAAACGAATAATACATGTGTACTTTATTCCTCAAAGAATCTGAGAGTCACACATTTACCACAATTAAATAACAAATGTTACTGGACAAAAGTCAATACACAGTCTACAAGTGAAAGAGCCACAGGCAAAAGTATGACATGGATGACTTTTCTGCATTACAAGCAAATGATAGCAATTTATGATTTAAATCAACCCTAGAATATGAAAGAAAGCAAAGTAGGTTTCCTTGAACGCTCAGTAAGGCAAATCAGTAAAGGAAAGGTCATAAACTTAAAGGACAGAACTGATATAGTGAACTCAGATATTTTTTTCAAATCACCTTAAGATTTAAAGGAAAAAATTATTACATTACAAAAGCTTCTGGTCAAAACAGTGTTTTTAAAGTACAGCTATAAAAATGTATAGCCACAAAACAAACTAATGGAGTTAAAATAATTGAGTGGCCAGACTGTTAAAAAGACAGCAAAGTAAGTCACTTAATTTCTCCTAGCTGGTTAAAATGGTAAGTGACAGCAGTTATTCATGAAACTGCTGTGGCCTCTCTTACACTCTAACCCTTGCTACTATCACTGGGGTTATCAACAATGTCCTTTCGTTCGTAACTAAAATGATTAAACAACTGGATTTGCTGGAGACATTTCTAATTTATCAATATTGTAGCAATGTGGTTATTGGTAGTGCCCCTTTTCATTTTTACAACCATTTCTTTTTGATGGATTACAAACGTGCAGATTAGTTTAATAAAAATCTAATGTCTCCACATGGTCAATAAATCACATACCCTTATCCTTTACACATTTTGGCCTTTTTTTTCCAGTAACTTATCTGCATTTAATACATTTGGATGAAATATTTCCAAATGGTTTATTTCAATGAGAATGCAAAAGAAAAATCAAAGAATGTTGTCTTCACAAATTGCCTTCTCTAAAAGAAGGACTGCTATTTAGAGAAAACTCATCATATATAAGTCATATAGACAGTGATAAAATAAGCATTAGTTTACCATTGCCAGTTGTCGACCAATGTTTCCCATTGTTATGCCTCCAGCAAAATATATACATGGTAACCAGGAACGAACATAGAGAAAATCTGGAGATGTATACCTAGAATAACAAAAATATTTTAACATTTAAGAAGTAACATCTGAAAATATTGGTTTCAATGAAAATAAGTTACTTTGTAGATTCAATCCCAACTCCAAATGTTGTAATCATTTATTTACCTAGCAAAGAAGCACCAAAAAAATAATACTTACTGATAAACACCGTTATAGACTAGCAGTTGAGTGACCACGGTTGCCAGGAAAGCAATTCCTACTCCAAGGCCAAAACCACTTCTAGATCTATCAAAAGTCCACCACAGTCCAATGGAGAGTGCAGCCAGTGTGAGAGACAATTGTATGTTGTTATCAAAATCCACTTTCTGAGATCAATGTTAAAGAGTCATTTCAAAATTTGTAACCAAATATTTGATCACTTTTCTAAAATAAGAGATGTCACTGTGGAGGGGATGGTTTATTCTTGAGTACACTCATTCCTTTATCTTTCAATGTAATATGTGACTAGATAGAATTCAAACTATCTCTGGAATTTACTAAATACCAGATACTAAGAGGGAATTAACTAATAGATTCTACTGACCTATAATCTCTCCCAAAAAAGTCTGTATACATTCTCAATTATAAGGTCAGATCATTATTTAACAAATGCTTTCTTTGCTAAAAATGCAAGTGCAAACTTCAGAACACAAGTATTGCTAAAAGAACACACTTTTGCAAAAAAAGGAAACCAATATTACTTCACAAAGAAATTTCGAATTACTTGAAAATCATACAGGAGCTTGAAAACAGAAGAGTTGACAGCTATTTAACAGGATACCACATTCTCTATATGATTTACTGACAGACACATTTTATAATAATGCAGTTCAGAAACAAGAGTACCAAGGACACAGCATCCCTTTCTATTATGTCAACGGTTCGAGTTTTAATTTGTTGAGGATAAAGCCTTGAAGGGAACATTATCTTACAACCTGCCAAGCTATTTTGGTGCCTGAGACTTTCTGGTATAGGACAGTTTGCTCAAATGATATTTTATTTTCATCATCTACTTAAGCATCTATTCACAAATGTATAGCCCTTTTCTACTCCAAAATCTCTGGGCAGAACGAAGCTTTACAAATTCAATTTTCTCATTTCTTTGCTAGAGGATTACACTAAAGGAATTAATTTCAAGTGTCATTAAAAGGGCATTATCTATGTCCCAAAGGCCACATCTTGGCTTTATAGCCAGCTCCTTGGTGGGGGCGGGGGCGGTCCTACTAGCTCACAAAGTAACTGGCCATGCTATAAGTTCAAAAAAATGTATATAAAACTATTTCCTGCAACCTTCAACATCTCGTTGTTGACCACCATTCTAGTGCCCTTATCAAGCCAGCATTCTCAACACCCAGCTTGCTGACATCTCAGTGTCTAAGGGCTGTTGTATGTCACTCCCTCGAGGTCATTTCTTGCTTAATGTTCATTTATCAAGAAACCTATAGTTCATACAGGCATGCTCTCTGGAAAAGCTTTTTTCGTACTCTTTAGCTGTCTTTATACTTACATTCTAAAGAAAAGGTTTTGAACATTGCTTCTTCTGTACAATAAATATTCACATAAAGAATGGTAACTGATGTTAACAGGATCCATCTTTGCTAATTAAATTAACTTCAATAAGCAAAATAAAAAAGTCTCTGGTGAAAACAAGTAAAATACATCAATCTTAAAAGTAATACCACGTTATTTTCTAAAGTCTAAGTGACTTAATATGAAAACTCCAGGCTATTAATTTTGTAAATATTTTAGGTTTTATAAACAGGGCAGCTAAGATGCTATATTTAAGTATTTCATTCAGAGAGTAAGAAAAGAGTGAACAAAGGAAACAAAATGTAAATTGTATACAAGTTTTTAAAATTCTAGTAAAGGTTACTTAAACTTCTCAACTTAAAAACAACAACCATAGGTGAAATGTCTGGGATAAAAAGGTGTACTTCAGCAGACAGAGGAATTTGTATAACTATGGGGCAGCTAGGTAAGAGAATGAGATGTTCTTATCCTGGGTTCAAAAGTTCTGTTCTCTGGTCATAGCTCTGCTGCCGCCTGGTGTGGTAAAAAAAATAGCGAATGAGCCAGCCTCTCTAAAGCCTCCCAACCACTATATTTCTGTTCTATAAAATCCTAAGTCTTAAAAAAGGTCACCAAAATAAACATGCTGGGAAATTCCTTAATACAAAAGAAAACACAGAAGCAAACTAGTAACAGCCTCGGAGGTACTTTCCAATTACCAAAGTTGAGGACCAGTGAAATGGGGAATTGTTTTCAGAATATGGATCCCTGCCTCTTCCTGTGGTTTCTGTTCCCCAAGAATATTAAAGGGATTTCAAGACCTGGTGAAAGGCACAGGAACTGACTTGCCACATGATAGACACTCTCAGGCTAAGTCTGCTGGTCCTGTGCCCAAACAAATTTGACAGCAAACTTTTAGCATCTTGAGTCACACTTTATGCTCCTCTCAGTTCCCAAGGTTCTTGCTACCTTCATTGTGTAGACCAAATTTTCTAAACAAAGGAAGACAGGAGTAGTATTTCCCAGATCCTCTTTTACAAAGGAAAGCCAGGAAGAGAAGGTAAGAGGTAGAGGAGTGGAGGTGGGAACAATGACAGAAAAAAAAAACCTTCTGAGGGCAAAAAATATGTTCTAAGGTAGACATTTTTTTCTGGAAGGAGAAGGAAAATGGTAGCTATATTACCCTTCTCATGAGGACACTATAAAAAATACTCATTAATCACTAAACAAGATGTTAGAATACTCAAATAATAAAACTTCTAAAATATATCATTACAGGGAAAAATACAGAGTCCGCCAAAAAGATGTATACACACTTCAGCAGTTTGCCACATTAATAAATGTCTGGAAGCTAATGACCACCACTTTGAGGACCTCTTGTAATTATAAAGTACAAAGGTAACTTGTATTAATCTCATGATGTCTCAATAAATTTAGTAATAAAATATTTATACCAGTTTTTCCTTTTGGTGGACTCTATAGTTACTTCTGATCAAGGTCTAAATTACATATTTGTACTTATGCCACTTTTAAGAATGTTTGTCATGTTTTGATGTTGATTAAAAAGTGACAGTCTGCTTTTCTTTTTGTTTTTTTTGTTTTTTGATCTCACTATGCAATTCAGGCTGGCCTTGAGCTCACTTTGTAGCCCAGGCTTCTCGAAAACTTGCAACAATTCTCTTGCCTCAGCCTCCTGAATGCTGGGATTACAGGAGTGTGCTACCACGCCTGGCTGAACAATCTGCTTTTAAAAATTATAACTTCTTCAAATTAAGAAAAATAAAAAACACCTATGTCTTAGTTACTTTCTTGTTCCTGAGACAAAATATCCAACATCCAAAGTTAAAGGAGTAAATGTTTATTTTGGCTCACAGTTTATAGAGGTTTCAGTCCATTATCAACTGGCTCCAAGGCAGGGTGGTATGGCAGAGGAGAAACAGTTCATGGTGGGAGGAAGGTAGCAAAGCAAGCAAGGGACCTTGCCAGCTTCTTTCTGCCCTTTTATACCCTATCCAGGATACTGGGATTAAGGTGTTGCCAAACCAATCAGTGGACTGATTTAGTAACCACAAACTCTTAATCCTCACATCACATAGTCTCGATTCAGCCACCTCTGAATAAGCCCCACTGATGAACCCATGAGGCTTTGGGAGGACATCAAAACACAAATTGTAACAATTTATAATCCCAACACTCTGGGAAACTGAGGCAGGAGGATCACAAGCTTGAACCTAGCCTGAGCAACTTAACAATTTAACAAGACCCTGCCTCAATATAAAAAAATTAGAACAAAGTGCTGGGATGTAGCTTAATATAGAGCTCCCGACTTCAATACCCAGTACTTCAAATAATAATAATGATAATAACTAAAGTCCCCACCTGTCATTTTAGCAAGTCTGTTTATTTGTTCATTTATTTGTTTGTTTGAGAGAAGGTCTTGCTATTTAGTTCTGGTTGGTACTGAACTCACTCGGTAACCCAAGATGAACTCAGTACAATCCTCCTCCCTCACACTCCAATTGTCATAATTACAGGCATGCACCATCACACCCAGATCAAGTTAAGCTTAAGAAAAACTTACTTGAAAATATATCTATTTGGATCAGAATGATTGGAGTTTTCCTGCTTTAACAATATGACCTCCAGTCTTAGAAGACTGTATAAAAGAAATTAAGCAACCCAATTTAGGACAAAAAAAATTTTTAAATGTGCAAAACTTTTTAAATGACACAGCATAACAGGAATTTAAATGAAGAGCTATGTCCCACACTAAGTTGCCTAACTGCTACTCTAATGCTTCAAAAATATGGTTTACATTTGTTTGCTGGCTAAGTGACCACACCACAATCTGACAACAGTAAAGTTGCAAGGGGCTATTTAATCTTTGGTTTGTTAGAAGCTGCTTTATTATTGCACATTTCATTACAGTGTAAAGGATACAGCACTGGCATGATTTATACCAACAAAGACAGCTACACACCGCATTACACTGGACCACTCTCTTTTAAATTTATGTGGTTCTCCTAGATGCCTGTCAATGCAGGGGTATAGTAACCCAATCACAGCTGTGGGAAAAAAGAAAAAGAAAGTTACTCCAATGTCACACTGACAAAAATTAAACTATAAGAATCATTAAGGCCATGATAGGCATTTTTAAGATTCTTTTAAAAAAAAGCACAAGTTATTTAATATCAATCACAGACATTACTAAACTTATCTTCCAAAGAGGATAATACCACTGAACAGCCTTATAAATGATTACAACAGTAACCTAAATTCTAATAGATGAAACACTCCAAGTACATGACTCATAATTTAGCAGCCTAGACTATATGATTCACGCTACTTTTCAACTACAAATATCTATGAGACTTGAAAAGTATCAAATCAGTTAGCATTTAAACAATATTTTTGAATCCACCATAACCGTGAAATATACTTTTAAATGCCACAAATCTAAAAGGAGAAGTTACAAGCATAAATACATAGAATAACCTCATTATACACACGAAGTTTCATGGTCCTAGCTGTCCTGTTCAGTAGATTAGTCTTGCCCCATCAGCTTCTTATGTCAGTCTTCTATATCTACCACCTTTTCCTGACACTCTTTTCCACCCTGGAGCTCTTATAAGACTGCAGGTCATATTGTCAAAACAGAGAAACTCCCAACAGAAATCCATATATAACATTAATTATGCACATAGAAAAAAAATGGAGTAAACACAGTCTGTAGGAATACAAATTTTCAGATGAAGTTTAAATTCAAAGTTGAAGAAGAAATCATCTTACTCTATTTCTTAGTTTTGGAAAGAACATCATGAATGTTAACTGTGTAATTAATTATAAACACAGCTACTGTATACAAAATGTGTAGGATTGACATCCAAAATATTGTACAACAATCCTTACTTATAAAACCTCAATATTTTATTCACTAAGTAGGAGAAAATTTTAAATGCTGAGTTATTCTAAAAAGACTAAATGAACCAAAGTATTATTTAACAAATTGTAAGGAAAGTCTACTTCCACAGATTATTTTTAACAGGAAAAAGCTAGGCAACTTTGATTTGTTAATCTTACTCAAAAGAGAATGATTATGCTACCATTCTGAGACTAAAGACACAACTGTCACATCATTTGGAAAGCATGTTTAAAATGTCCAAAACCACGTATGATGTATAATGAAGTTGTTGTATCAAAATCTAAGTGTGGGAGGGTCACAAGCTCTTTCACAGCTTGGTATTAGCTAGCTACCACTCACAAACACTGCATTTAATCTTCAGAGAAAAACAGAAGCCAATTAATATCAGAAATCACAGGCAGACTGATGGAACAGCATTCCAGAGGCTGCCCGGCCACTGTTCCATAGGGAGATGAGATGCTGTCATAATGCATGTATTTTCCACTCCATGACTCTTTTAAGATTTGCTGAATATAGATGGCTCACAAAACATTAAGAAATTAAAGATCAATCTCAGCAAAGCAGAGCTCCAATAAGTACTAGAAAATTTAAGTTTCATATTAGTCCTATTTAAAAGTTGTTGTTGTAAAATCCTGTAACATTAACGGACAGTATTTCTTTCTGACACAATTAAAATGGCAACACACATCCGTAATAATTGAAATACATGTAGATGAATGTTCTTTTCTCAAGGGGCCATAAAACTAAAAACTCATCTGTCATCCCTCTTTGCCTGGCTCCTCTATATAATATATAGACAGAAATAGATATAGACCAGTACATCTGCATATCTATACTCAAACCTATCTTCCTCTCCCCTTTCCTTCCTCTCCTCCCCTCGTCTCCCTCTATCCACCAAGTTTGCCTATTGCTGAGTAAAATCAACTAACAGTAGGCACTCCAAGTCAATTTTCTTCAGCAGTTGATGCCACAGATAAAGAATTATCACATGGAGAACGCTGACATGTATGTGGAAGGACATAAATAAGTAAAATTGACTACATTTTTATGCATGTGATGTCAGACTTGCAAGTGAGAGACAACTGAGGAGAGGAAGCAAAAACACAAAAAGGAATTTAAACTGCCACCTGCCAACCTTGGGATTTGCCAGTAAAAATCAAATCCATTGAGTATGCATGGTTCTTGGTTGCTCACTGAGAGGAAGTATTCGAGGAAGCTTGTCACTTTCCATTAAATATCTTCTTTCTTTCCTTCAAATAAAGGCATGGCAGAATCTGATAGCAATATATACAGTGCTGTAAGCCTTCATTGTTTGGGAGCTCAGAATACATCTGAGTTTCTTTTCCTTTCTTATACTTTTTTTTTTAATGAAGAAAAAAAAACCAAGAGAGACTATTAAAATCATGCCTGTGTCAAACTATATGCAAACATAGTCCTGCTTCATCAGATGGTGCTCTGATGCAAAAATCACATTTTTTGTGATATCTTTAAGGGATTTCCCAGAAACTAGCTACAGTTTGCCAAGACTAAAGATCATCTGTACTAAGTCATCTATTTATGATGGTGCTGCGCTGAAACAGTGAGGAAATAAAAAGAACAATTAAATGACAAGGAGAGAGCGGCTGAGAAGACAAAACCACTCCCTGAGGTACACTTTCATGGAAAACTAGAACAGAGTAAGATAATGCTTTCATTCAAGAAATACTTAAATCCTAAAATTTATCTGGTTCTTGGTACTTGCTGGAGGCTTAAAAGAAAAAAAAGAGTAAGATATGAATCCAGTAGCAAAGTAGCGTTAAATGTACTGCTGTTAGAAGGACAGACCCCAGCCCACTCCTGCCTGTCAAGGAGAGGTGGGTACCTACTTGCTTAGAAGGAAAGCCTCACAGAAAAGATGACCCCGGATAGGCTGTGTTCAGCAGGTGACTGGCATGGAAATGGCTTCCTCATCATCAGGAAACAAGAGACAACTGAAAAGAGCCAGTATCACAAGGAAACTGTAAGCTCTAGGAATGAAAGGTGCTTCAGGGTACAGAACAATTCACAGGAAGATAAAAGCAGAAAAAGCCATAGCATAGAAAGTTTACTCTGCCGACACTAGGGAAGCAGGAGAATGATGCTATCATGGTTGTCCGAGAGAGAAGCAACTGTTCCTATGGCAGTGAGAGTACAACACAGGGAATGAGCCAGAGGTAAAACGAGAGGCACAAAGATAAAGACTGATAACCACAAGCAGTGGTGAGGCCTGGACCAAGAAAGAGCAAAGATGTAAAACCTGGAAGATAGTTGTGAAAGTGAAAGAAGAGGAGTCTTACAGGACTCTCCAGGAACTGGGTGAGGGCTGCACAATGAAACGGAAAAGATTTCTCCATTTTTATTTTCTCTTTCAAGTTACTTATTGCTTTCACAGGTCTGGACACTAGCTACTTGTGATTTTTGAGGCAACTTCCCTATTTATTTTACCCACACCATGACAGCTGTCTTTTCTTATTTTTTCCTTAAAAAGATTCCTTTGTGGCCCTCAGTAATGCTCAGGAGGTTTCTAATTCTAGTTCTAGAACACTGCACATAAAGAAGGTCATCAACTTCTAAACACCAGCACTGTTAAACTAAAAGGGAACTGTGAAAAGGAAAATGAGAAGAAATTTACGAGACATTTCTACTAATCCCTGAGAGACTTCTAGCTTTTTCTAGGGCTGTGTGATAGGGAAGATTGCAAATAATAATTAGAGGCTCTTCTGTTCACAGGTTGAAAGTAGTGATTCTGCTCCAAAACATAGCGGCTCCAAATGCCTAAGAACATTAGTTGGACAGGAAAATCAAAAGATGACCACCAATTTTTCTGACTTACAACTGTAAGAACCTAGAGAGGTTTTGAAAACACATATCGTAACATATACACACAGAAACATACTCACATACACTATATTTCTTATATCATTTACTTCTTTTCCTTTGATATTTTCTCTAAAATAAGGGGGAAAAGGGGGACATATATTATGCAGGAATCCATATGCCGTCTTTGGCAACTGTCACAAATCTGTTCTCATCACTCTCATTCACTAAGCACTATCCAACAAACCTGGCAGCAGTTAACTAGAATCTAGATTTCCTAATGCCTCTGTACTTTTTTTTGCCCAGGTATGTTATGGAATGCATGTTTTCAGAGGGAGTATTTAAGCAAGGAATGTAAATGCAAATTCCCTAAATGAAAAGGTTTGAGATTAAATTTACAAGTGTGACAAACTGAATAGCTAGGAAAAGAAGGAAAAGTAGGGACCAAATGGCTGAATAGTAGTATCAACATTTGTAATTTTGCTTCCTAAATGCGAGTTTGTGAAAAATGGGCCCCATTACAGAGACAGAGCAACAGGCAGCAAATGCAGCCTACCTCTCATAATGGAGTCAGAATGAAACCTCTGCCAAGTTCCCCTGCCCTGGCCCAGAATGTGTACCAGACACCAATGTACTCCATCCAGGTCTGGCACCTCATCTGGAGGCCAGCAAGGAAGGATTCTGAGTAGGGAGAAGTGTAAGTAGCTCCTTCGGGACCCCTTCCAGGTCTGTGACACTCAAGCCCAGCCCCACCACTCAGCTCTAAGATCCTGGCCTCATCAATTTCCTCTCTTCATCTCAAAGTCCTCATTCCCTCAAGAGGCACACTCTCCTAAGACTGCCCTCCACAGCTTTGAGATTCAGGACATAGCTGGCCTGCTCACGGACATGCAATAAGTAACCTTTCCCTCCTCCAATCTTCATTTCTGCCTGCCCTGAAAAAAGATATGTTCTTCTAAGTACCAAAAAAGTTCTATTGGCAGCCACACAGAGCTATATATCAGGAGAAAATAAAAAACTAGAAAATTTTTTGAAAAAATTTGATTTTTCTCTTCTGAATCTGAATGAAAGAAAATACATGAAAAGCAGCAAATATAATACAGGGTGATAAAATATAATTTGTGCATTCTTCCCTTTGAACCATTTTGTCTATTCTCTCAGAGACTGATAATATTCTCCAAGAATGTTAACTCTGGAAAAACTAGGCATCACTGTCTTTATGACTTCTCTTTTAATATAAGTACTGCCATGGTTAGACATCAGTATATAACCCACATGAAACCTCAGCATAAGAATGTCCTTCTGTTCATGCAAAAGAATTACATACTTGTCCCATAGGTTGAATGAGGTCATTTAAATGTCTTACAATTTGACCTCACCCTTTGCATTGAACCTTCTACGTCAGGCTCTAGGATGTAACCCAAGAAATAACTACATTATGTTTCAACATACGCATGTATATTAAATATGGATATTCAAAAAAGCAATTTTCTGTCTCAGTCATAATTATCTACCATATGATTATGGCTGCCTTGTAGTACTTTACAAAATAGCAGTGTAGTTTATTGGTCTCAGTCATTAGAAAAAGCTAATCTATTACAGAAGCTCAGCATTAATAAAGCATCCTAAAATGCCCCACTGTATCCATTACACATCATCCACCGCCAAAAAAATCATATAAAGTAACTAACAGGATTCTCAAAAGAGATTATCTTACCAATCTCTCTAAATATTTACTGTTAAGGTACACTTAAAAATAAGATACCCAGAAAAAACATATATTAGAATAAAAAAGAGGCTTTAAAATTGAATAAAATCATTCCACTTTTTCAAATTTTTATGTATTTCATAAACAAAACACAGCACAGACACAAACCCTTAAGACCTAACAGTGGTGACCTTCACTAAAGACTTACATGAGATGAACTGAAGAAACAAAAAAATCAAGTAGTTAAGAGCTTTATTCCAAAGAAACTCAGTTTCACTTTTAGGGTTAAATTTTAAAGGTCACAAAGAAACCAAACACAGAGTGACAAAAAAGGAGGAATCAATGATTGCATTGATATTCCATCTCAGAACAGGCGAAAATCTTTGGCAACACAAATTATATCAGCAGAAGCCTGAGGCTGACGGTGGGTAATGGACTTTTATAGGACATAAGAAAACTTGAGGGATGACAGAAACGTTCTATGGCTGGACTGTTGGCTGTGGTTACATGATTACACACATTTGCCCAATGCTTCAAATTGTTCACTTAAAATACGTCCATACAGTAGACTTACATTGTACTTAAATGATGTCTCAATAAAGTTGATTTTTTAAAAGTTTATTGGTGAGACAACATCCACAATCCTTTACAAGCAATGCCAAAACACCCTATACGTACCTGAAGCTGTGCCACAGCATGGTGGCACCCACCATGCAGAAGAAAAGATGCTTGCAATTACATCTGGTGGAAATAGCGTCACATTTCTCTGAATCTGGAGCAAATTTAACACTAAAGCAAGAAATACTCCAATAAAAAATAAGACTACTCCTCGAATCACCAAGTTCACACTCTGGCTAGTGACAGATGAGATATATGGGCCACACTTTTTGGGCCCAGGTGACTCCGTCTCTCCTTCTGCCATGGTTTCATAAGTTCAGTAAGCTGAAAGAAAACTGGAAAGGCTTCCCGGCTGAAAAGCTCAACTATCTGTGAATGAAGGCAGGCCGATGTTTCAACAGTACTACATCTTGTCTCAAGGGACCTACCAGAAATCCTATAAAAGATTAGAAAAAAACAGGTCAATGTATGTCTAATATATGATCATATAATTTTTTATTATACTACTAGTTAATTTAAAAAGGCAAATAGTGAAATGACAAATGTGTATACTAATTTATTTAAATTAGGTACTGTTGAATAAGAAAAGATTCAAAAATGTTTTATACATATGATGCAATAAAAAATGAAATGTTTACTAGGATAGAATAAGTGACCTAATAGATCCAAAGATTAAAATAATATTAAAAACAGCTTATCCCACCTCTTAGAAAAGTGGAGCAGGTATTTTGAGACACTTCTGATAGAATCTGGAAGATCAAACCCTGGTCTTTGTATCTTCCACCTAAATCTCCAAGCCTATCAGTTACAGTATTTCATATTTTACAGAAAATCAACATACTGGCTAAAGATAATGTATTTTTCATAATAAAATGTGACTTGCTCATGAGGACAATTCTACAAAAGAACAAAATGGCCTATTTTAATGTTTAATGCTTATATATTTGAATTGCTGCACAAAAGCATTCTATAAAAACCAGATCACCATGGACTCACGTACACATACAGCTGCCACAGAAGCCAGATCTGACCACGCTCCCCAGGGCCACAGCTAGGTCCAACTCCTACTTTAACCCTAACTGCAATCATGACAGTAACTATGAGAAAGCCAGAGAGAGAAGAAGAAAGGAAGGAAGGTAAGAAAAAAACAACCTCATGACTAGATTCTGAGAAGTTCTTACCCACATGGCCCCCGACTCCTAATACCCAGAACTCTGCTACTACAATCTACATATTTGTTTACTCCTCTGACAGAAGTGCTTCTGTGATTTGGATATTGTTTTTCCTCCAAGATTCCTGAATTAAGAGGTTGGACCTCAATGTGCTGATGTTGGGAAGTGGGACCTTGAAGAGGCAGGCCTGGTGGAAGGTCCTTGGGTCAAATGGGATACTACCCTTGGAAGGGACTGTGGGATACACCACCTCTAGCTTCCTGCTTGGCGATGTGATTTTGCCTTCTATCTGTGCTTCTGCCATCTGTTATAAGCAGAGGTGATGCCCTTATATCATGCCCTTATACTTCTAGAACTATGAGCTAAATAAACCTGTTTTTCTCTAAAAGGCTGGCCTGCCTCAAGTAGTTTGTTACAGTAATGGAAAATTAACTATTACAGTGATTTTTCTTTTTCCTGTACTTAAGACAAATAATGTGAGACTTTCTATGTGCCATTCTAAGCAATTGATGTGTGGTAACTCATCTAACCCTCTCAATAACCCTAAGAGGTTAAGTGTAATTTTTCTGTCCATTTTATAGGTAGGCAAAATAGCAAAGAAAGGTTAAAGAAACTTGACCAAGTTTACACGTATAGTAAGAGAGGGGCCAGGGATTCAAATTCATGATTCCAAACCCTTGTTCTTAGCATGTTCTGCTTCCTGAACTATTACATATTTTCTATTTGTTTTCAATAAATACTAGTAGTTTTTAAATAGGAAAATACTACATAAGCTATTTTTGTAATTCATCTTACCAAGACGGGCATCTTTACAAGTCAGGATATAAACAGTATTTATTTAAAATCATAGCTAGCACTTATAATAACTACCTTATAATTATATGTACAGTTGCTTTATGGATTATAAACTTTTTATGTAAGTCTTATGCACTATTATATCTTCCATTGTGTTTACATACCCAGAAAGCTGCCTGCTTAGCCCTGAGTGGAAGCTCCACACATTTCTATTTGTTTAATTAAATGAGGGTAACTATCCTTGAATCAAACAACAATGGGTTAAGCAAGTCTTTTAGAAGGCAACTCTAGAACCTAATCATCATTTAAAATACATTACCTTTAAGTTTCTGATTTTCAAACTACACTACAAATAAATTTTAGAAAAAAATTCAATGTGCAAATTCCAGGGAATAAAGGTAACATTATATACAACCATTACAAAAATATTTGTAGGTACTAGTAACTTGTACAACCTATTACTTCCATGTGATATACAATCAGCTTTTTAACTGAGCCTCTGCCATATTCAAAGTTCTGTGCCCAGCACTGTCCCTAAGCTAGTCCTCACCAACCCACTTAGTCTACAGTGTAACTGAGCCCTACAACTTAAAAAAACAGAGAAAATAGTACATATTACAGTGGATTCACAGGAAAGTTCTAAATGCCAACTGAAAATGTCCAGAAAACATCTCCACCTGACCTGGTATTCAAACCATTCCTTGCCATGCTGCAGTACCCAGGTATATTAACATGTCATGTGTTCCAGACATTCTTAGCTTAGCATCATCATCATCATCACCATCATCACTATCATTATTGACAGAGCACTCATTAATTGAGAGCCTACTCTTTGTGTTAGACATACAGTAACTGTCTTCAAAATAATCCTAAAGATAGGAATTATCATTTTACCAATGAAGATGCTAAGTCAAAGAGATTTAGCAACAGGATTATTAATGGTCACAGGACATGCAGGATTAGAACTGGAATCTAACTGATCCCTAAATCCATTCTCTTTTCACTATATCCTGCGTCCCATTCCACTTCAACTACTTAGACCTGTACTTCAGTACTATTTAAAATTATTTGGTTACTGAAGATACAAGTAAATACTACAAAACCAGTTCAACTGCAGTATAAGTACAAGACTGAATACCAGCACAAAGATAATAAATGTATGAACATCTTGAGGTTTTTTTTTTGGTTTTTTTTTTGGTACCTGGAATAGAACTTAGGACCTTGTGTTTGCCAAGTAGGCACCTGTGCCCAGCCCTTTGAAATTTTTTTTAAAAAGCACTAGATCAAAGTGAAAAGATGTTCTAAAATAAAAAGCAAAACACAAACAAAAAAAGAATGACTAACTTACACACTGTATGAAACCAACATCTGGCTTCCCAATTGGTTTCCCAAACTGCCAGAGGCAGAGCAAATCCCCCACAGCCTCAAGAGGATGAGAATATGCCCTGAGTAACCCAAACCTAGTAAATCATTTGTTTTCATCTAATTTTTTCCAAAAGGGAATTAACGGCCAAGTGTCATTTTATGTTTAATAGTATTGGTAAAAGAACAAAACAACTTCAGTTTTAAAAGTTATTTCAGCTGTGCTAACTCCCAACTCACAATCATTTGCCAGGACTTGTCAAAGTGTATTGGCATTCAGGGTAGGGCAGTTGTTATCTGAAACTGCCTAAGCCATGCATATCATTTAACATCCCTGGTTTCTCCCCCATTAAAATTCCAAACTCTCTCATTTATGATATCCACAATTATGCCCACATTACTTACAAAATGTCCCAACTAAGAGCCAAAGATTGCTAGAAATCTCTTTTTCCATTCTATTTCAAGACTAGTAACGACTCTGTAAAGTGTTTGTTTATGTTTTCTGCCACAGATATTTATTCAACCTTTCCTGGCAGTGATTCCTTACAGTTTCATACATACTTCATCCCCAAAGTTTTCTTTTAAAATAACCCAACATTTGTTTGATATTTATTTAAATGAGACCCAAAAAAGCTAACTTTATTCTACATCATAATACGATAGTATATAATTATTGGGCATAGAAATAAATGCTACAATGCTTTAGAATCATGGTATTCCAAAATTTAAGAAATGGAAAGGAAGCAAGGAGATCATTTATTCCAAGGAGTATTTGAGCTTCATTCAAAACAAAAACACAACATGTACGTGTGCATTTTTTTGAGAAAAGAATTTGACAACTCATATTAAGTACTCATAAAACTCCATTATCCAAACAAACTCAGGAATCAGTGACTTAACAGTTCTCTCACTTCACCAGCAAGGCAAATACCATTCAGAGTGATCAAATAATCGAAAGTAAGACTGTACTACTGCACCTTTCTATCACAAACATGTAAAGTGAATGCCTGGGAATGCACCAAACATGTGCAACAATAAAGTTCCTAATGTTTATATCAGTCACTCATGACGGAGGTGGATTTTTTTAAAGGGAAAACTAGGGAATAAGTATCGCTTAATTTGTTTTAAAGTCTGTTTTTCTGATTATTTACTGATATTTTAAAAAACAAGGTGTATTAAATATTATTCTTGCATGAGTAAGAAATTTAATTCTCCATTATTTAAAAACAAAATCTGTATTTGAAAACTTCAGGTTATTTGAAAAATATTTTGCTGATCACAGAAAAAGTCTCTGGTGTCTACACTACTGACAGGACAGAAAATATCCCATGGATCCTCAAAGAAAACGTTGGCAAGAAATAGGTGTTTTAAATTCTCATTTTATAAAAATCAAATATGATAGCTTTGTAATCTCACAAACTATTACCAGGTAGACCAGAACTAGGCCCAAGCATTATAACTCCGTGTTCACTTTCTTCCACTTTACCACACTGCCTCAGTCTACAAACACAAAAGGAAAACAAATCAAGTGCTGCCACACAGGAAAGAATTTTTAATGTCAAGTTGATAAACTACTATTAATTCCAAAGCAATATGTTCAACCATTTAAAAAGAAAAATCTTCCACAGGATGTGAAAAATTTTACCTTGAACCCTAATCTGCAATTTCTATAAAATATATGACCAAACAAAAATAGGGTGGATACTTTTGATAGCTCACCTAGTTTGCACAGATCAAAGACAGATCACCAATACAAGAAGAACACTATTCCAGATGACTGATAGCCTATTAATAGATGGACATAATTACTTTTAGAAAAATTAAAAGGTGATATTAAGTGATTCCGGGTCTTGTTAATGAAAATCAAAGCTTATGTTAACCACTAAAGCAACCTACAGGCATGTGTGTTTCAACACAAACATAAACACAAAACGTCCTAGAAATCTTAAGGACCACATGCATTTTAACAAATGCAACATCCTCACCTCACCCAGAACCAGTAAAGACCATCATTCTTTTTGCACGGATTAGCAGTCATAGAAATAGGTTTGCTCCAATTACTCCATCTCTTCAGGTGCTTGGTTAGACACACAACTAAATAATAAAGTTAAATTACTACCTCACATCTTTTTCATCTCATGTTCTCTTAATTAGAATGGCATTCTCAGAATAATCATTAACATTAGAAAAATACATAAAACAAACACTTTAACTCAAATCAAAGCACACATATATGTATCACAGGATAGGGACATTAAAATTTCTAGTAAGAAAAAACTTCTGACTTGAAAACACTAGAGTTCTCAATATTAAAAAAGAATTAAGCAAACAATATAAGCAAGAAGAGTACACTGGCTATTTTTTTCTCTGTGGGACCCCAATTAGTGGGGGCATCCCCTTCTTTCATTTTTATTTAGTAGTTCGCTATCACAGCCAAATCCAAAAGTTGGAAAAACACAACCTAGCCACTGCTTGGCTGCCTATTCTTTTTTTGATTCTTTTTTTTTTTTTTCCCTGCACCCAGGACTGGAGCATGCAATCCTCAACTCCATTGCACTCCTGACGCTAGCCAATTTCAGTGGCCCAACTGCCAAAGCCTACCAATTCCTTCTCAAAGCATTTCCTTATCACCGCTACAAAGCAGCAAAGTCTTCATGGTACATTTTCCTACACCGTCTATCTAATACCATCCTTTAATAACTTTTCCCAAAATTAACTGCACTGAGGTCATTATCACTTAAGGTTTAGTTAGCACCGGTCCCTGTCCCACCTCCATCATCTTTATTGTTTTGCTTTTTCAGATTTCAACCCCATTGAGAGACTAAAACCCTAGTAATTTATCATCAGCTGACTTCTAGAGCCTGACAAGAACTCTCTTTGGTTTACCCACACACCTATTCCAAAAGTATACTATTCCAACTCAAAATGCCGAAGTCCTACTCCTCAGCTCAATGTCACATCATTTGGGTAGATTCTGAATTTACTCTGATACCTAGCTTATTTCGATCCACCCACTTCCAAGCCTGTCTTTCTTCCTGACTGCAAGTCACTAAGTCCTGACAGCCCACTATTTGACAGCTCGCCAACCTCAACCCCTTCAGACCTCCAGGGTCGCCCTTCCCACGGTCTTCCAGTCTTCTTCCCATTCCGACATTCCTCCATTGCCCACTGCGCTTCGGGCCTCCCCTACACCTGTCCGCGAACTCGCTGTCCATTCTAGACCTCGCCGACCCCTTTCCAGATACCCAGAGCCCCTCGCCCCGCAGGCCCCATCTGAAGTCCTGGGTTTCCACCCAGTAGACTAGTATTCCCAGGCAAAAATCTAGTCCCTCTTCCCGAGGGCCACCCGTTTCGGGAGGCTGCTTTCCTCAGCACACGTCACCTAAACTCTACCGGGAGACCCCAACTCACCCCCGCCTCCGCCATCTTCTGGGACCGGCCCCCGTCCCTTCTCCGCCTCTTCCTCCTCCCCTCCCACAACTCCGCCCGAGTTCCACTGCGCCTGTGCGGCCTACGCGCGGTGCGTCAGCGATCGGGGCAGAGGAGCTTCCGGTTTCCGCTGGCACTAGCTGGCCGACTGGGGAGCCGGGGCAAAACGGCTTCCGGTCTTCTGGAAATTGGCTGCTAGCGGGAGGCGTGAATCGTAGGGGATGGAAGCCTGCGTGACATGCTGTTTGCTGACCAGGCAGTGGTGGATTGTGACGGGTGCCCAGACCCTGTGGGCGGAGTAAGAGAATCGTGCATTGATACACGCACAGTCAGGGGTGAGGCGCAGAACTCTGCGTGTCCCTAATCTTGGAGCCAAAGGTTTTGCCAGCCTTGGAGAGCGGGCGGTCAGGTCCTTCCCGCTAACGACACCGGCTCTTGATATCTTCTATGCTTTTGCCCAGCTTTACTCTTTGCATTTTTTTCTTCCCTACCAAGTGGTAACATAGTGACTATTTTTCCTGTCATATGTGACTGTTTTTCCTGTCATTACCATTCCACAGCACTTTTCATTCTTAACCGTTCCTCAGGACTAGCAGGTAACGCAGTTTGGGAGAGGTTGATTTCACAGGAAGGGCTTTAGAGGTTAACTCCCAAGCAGAAAGAACACAAACCTTATAAACCTCTTACTGGTCAGAAGGACTATTTCTGTTGAATCTAAAATCATATTTGGGGAACATGAAGAAACCTAAATCTTTGGAGACTGTGCAGGTGATCTTTTGTTTTGAATGGAAGTGATTCTCTCACTGCGGAACCAAACCATGGAGAAAGCCAGAAGGCAATCATTGACAATTTTTTTTAAAGGCAAAATCTAAATCTCTTTTAATTGTATTACGTTACTGGGCTATTCCATGTATCACCTTCTTGGGTGGCTTAGCCCAAAATATATTAGGGATGTGGGCATATTACAACGGCCTCGAGGAGAGTTTTAAATGAAATATGGGCCTAGAATAATTGCATAATAGGGTTTTTTTCACTCTGAACTGATAAATGACATGATTTTTGGTTTTATTTTTGTGGTGCTGAGGATCGAACCCAGGTCTCCATGCCTACTAGGTCAGAACTCTTTAACGATGAATTACACCCCAGCCCAAAGAGATGGATATTTATGTTTCTGATGTTTTTTGGAAGGTGCGATACTGGGAATCGAACTGAGGGCCTCGCGCTTGCTAGGCAGGCGCTATGCGGCTGAGCTGCATACCCAGCCCTGATCTTTTTATTACAGTATTTATTTCTGAAAGGTGAAAGAGAAACTAAATTTGCAACAAAAGTGTCCAGGTGAGTATCTATATAACCCTTGCTTTCTGTTCCTGTAGGTTTTTACCTCCCAATCAAGAAACATATGGGCTAATTATACTAAATGGATTCAGAATTTATTTTAGAGGAGATCGGGCACGTTTAGGGTGGTATGGCCGTAGACTCAGAATTTATTTTAAAAAGTGCCCAGAAAAGAGACAGTAACTTCAAACTGGCTCTTTTTAAAACGTGAGTCCTATATACCCTGCTCATGCCCACCTCAAGCCAACGTTTTCAAACACTTAGACACTGCCCACAATCCTAATTGAAGATTTTAGCCTAGAGAAGAATTTATGTTAGTTTACATACGCGTTAATTGCAAGGAAGGACAGGGATCTAAAAATCAGGAATCACGTAGCATTAGTTCCTATATGAATCTTACATCCAGTGCAGTGATGCTTTGAAGTAGAAGGCTGAATATAAACTCGTTAGGGGAACTACAAGGACCACTGTCGTCTTTGATTAGGTTTTTATGGAAGATGTAGCCTTTCAGTGAGTATTGAAGATGGATATGCAGCTATGGTGAGGCTAGGCATTGTTTCAAGCTCAAGAATTGGAAAACCATGAAATTGATTATGGAACCTGGCCTGTGAATAGATGTATGGTAATACATATGAGATCTGAATAGCAGGCTCATGAATTTGAACTAAATTTTTGGTTTCGTGGAAGCACTAAAAGCCTAAATTAATTGATGCCAGATTATAAATTGATTAGGAACTTTAAGAAATCCTAGCAACTTTGAATTTCTTTGAACTTGATGCAATGTCAGTGGAATGCTGTTGAAGTTTTCTTGAAACCTGAATTGTATTTTGGCTGTATGACAGCATGTGTGTAATTATGTCCAATACATTTGTTTGTATAGGTTTTCGTCTTCTTATCTGTAAAATGAGGTATTAGATGAATTCACTGGTAGAAATATCAATGATTTGACAATTCTGTAGCTTCAGGGGTTCCCATAAAAGTTTTATTTGCCATGTTGGAGTGAGATAATGTTAGACTAAAGTTAATTATTGCCTAAGGATAAATGACTGACTAAACCTTACAATAAGCATCTAAGAACCTTGGACTTGGAAACTTTACCCAAATTAAAACCATCCAAAAAACTTTTTCTTAATTATATGGCAATTTTTCTACTCAACAGCTGGGATCCAAAATATTAGAAAGTGTCCTAGTCTGGAGGGTTTTGTTTTTGTCATGGTATTTTAATGTGGGATGCTGCTATGATTTAGATGTGATATTTAGATTGAGGTCATAGTACCATTAAGAAGTGAACTCAGATGGAGAGTAATTGGGTCATGGAGACACTACTGTCATGAATGGATTAATGATGGGCAGAATGATTAGGATCTGGTGGGAGTAGATTAGTTCCCAAGAGAGCAACTGGTACTAAAAAGAGTGAGGCTGACTCCTTCCTATCCCTAGTCTCCAGTTTCCTGTCTCATGATCTCTCACTCCCTTGGATTCTCCTTTCCTATACAGATACCCAGCCTAACATTTGTAACACTGGATTGCATTTGTTGATGTCTCTTGCCTCTCAGCCTCTCAAAGGCAATGATCATACTGTATTCTTCATGGATTTACTCACCTTTCCCTCTTGCATATGCTGTTATTATAATGCCATCCACTATATTGTAGGCAGAATGCCCTTACCAAAGACAAACAGATGGGACTGCCTGCACTTAGTCTTTCAGCCTCCCCACCTGAGCTAAATAAGCCTTTTTTCTATAAAACATCCAGGCTATTATAGCAATACAAAGTGGACTATGACAGGTACACACAGTTGAAGAATAAAAAAAGTCAAGGAATATTGCCCTTTTTTCTTTTTTTAAACTTTCTTAGCCTTTTTTTACCTTTTTAAAATTGCAGAATAAATCATTTATCAATCCATTCATCCCTTAATGGGTATCACCTGAAACCTAGCAGATACCAGGCTATTAGAAGAAAAACAAAACAAACAAGGCCTTTCCTTATGAAGTTTACAGTCCAGTGGGGGAGACACACAGTAAATGGCTAAATTACTATGTAATTACAAATTGAGACAAGTGCTCTGAAGATGGAACATCTCCATAATGCAGTAGTGAATAAAGACGCATACCTGGAGAATATCTGTGACTTCAAGTGTAACTTGAAGATTGAGGGACATCTGCTAAGAGCAGGATGAGAGCAAATGTGAAAGCAAAAAAGCTGGAAACTCTTGGTGCATTCCGGGAAATGAAGGCAGAGTCACTAGGAAGTAGCAATTGGCAAGGAAAATTGGATTTATTTAATAACATCACAATTGACCACTTGTGTGCCAGGCAGTGTGCTAAATTACTCTGACTTTATGTGCCCCAAACCCTTTTGAAATACATATCAAATAGTAAATGAGACATTAAGGCTTAGAGAGGTGATTGTCAACCTTGGCTACATATTATGATCACCTGTAGATTTATTAACGCTAGTGCCTGAGCCCTACCTTATATATTCTGATTTAATTGGGTAGAAGAGGGCCCTTTTATTGTAATCCTGAAGTAGTTCTACTGTGGTCAGAGTTGAAAATCACTGGCTTAACTTTAGTTTGTGCAAGGTCTCTTAGCAGTTAAGTGGTAGAGGAAGCATGAATTCAATGTAGAGATGTTTGATTCCAAAGCCTGTGCTGTTTGCCACACAGTAGCATATAGTAAGCGGTTACTTCTGGAAGCTGTTAAACACTGAGACAAAAGGATAAATGAGAGAGAGCTCTTACCTTCCATAAATTCATAACCAGTAAGGCAGAAATCTCAGCAAACAGATCCAGGCCAGCCGCATAGACAGACGCAGATCAAATGAGAGCCATTGTTGAAGACAGATATGTTCTGTTTTAAGCTAGAGTGGTATGAAGAGTAACTAATGGCAATTAATGAAATCTGGGTAGGCAGCTATTGCAGTTGTCACCTGAGAGATGGTGCAAGCCCTCAAGCCTTGAACTAAAGCAGTGGCACAGGTCACAAAGAAAATTGGCAAGATTTGCTGACCACTGATGTTGGGTGATGAAAAGAAAAAAGGGAGAATGCCTTCAGAGTTTTGAGTGTAAGAGAGTGAATGAAAGTAACACCATTGACCTAGAACAAGAGTGCAAGAATTGAATTTTGGGTTAAATGAGTCTAAAATACTTCAAACATTGCGGTAGAAATGGCTAGTTTAGCAATGCAAATGTGCATCTGGAACTAAAGTGAGCAAATAGATCTAGATAAAGATCTGAAGTGACTGCTTTTGAAAGATATTTGAAACCATACATAATATGTATGCTGTGTATAAATATTTTGAGAAAAGATAATATAGAGGAAGAAAAAATTTCAACATTACCATACCTGAATATGTCAATGATGTTATTATTTGTCTGCAGTGATATTAAACACAGTCAATTTATGAATATCCAAGATGAGTTTTTAATACTTCCCAGACTTTCCTTGGCCATAAAGTAAATAACAGATGGTACATAGCTTTGGAATGCAAACTAATTTTAAATATTGACTAAATATTTAAGAAGAATGCTATATGATGCATTCAGAAATGTAATGGAGATATCCTAGAAGCAATGTTCCCACATAAATTTTCTGTACCCCTAGTTTTGACTTCAAAGTATTTATATAAAATTACTTAAACCTACAATGGTTATAATATTCTAAACATAAAACTAAATAGAAAATTCTTAAGCTTAGGCTTATTCACATCTATAAAACCAAAGTATTTGAAGTAGTTCCCCCCCCCAGTGGTATTGGGGATTAAATTCAGGGTCTTGTGCATGCTAGGCAAGCACTCTACCACTGAGCTACATCCCCAACCCTAAAACTAAAGTATTTGCAAAACCACTGTTGTGGTTTGTGTCTGGATGCCCCCCTACAAAGCCTCATGTAGTCATGGGGGTGGGTTCTAGAGTTTTCGATTAATTCATGGTCCACTGCTGGCATTATGGGTGTGAATGCTACATCCACCCTGGGGGTGGGTAGCCTGAGTACAGTGTAAGGGAGGGAAAGAGGCTTGCTCTTGCTCCATTTTGCTATTGCTGCTTTTGATGTTTTCTGCTGCCATGAACTATTGCCCCCTGCCATGTGCCACTCTGCCTTGGAGCCAGCTGATTTTGGACTGAAACCTCCACAAATTCTTCCTTAATTCTGTGCGTCAGGTATTTTGTCTTAGCAATGAGAGAAAAGTAACCAAGAGAACAATAAAATAGCTTAAAATTACTGTAGAGTAAAATAAAAGACTTTTCAAATTTTTATATGACATAAATATTGAAATATTTGCTACAGAAGAAATCTTGAGCTCAAACATACTTATAATTCTGTCATGTAAAAGTTTGATTCTCTCACCTTTATTTGTACAGTTTACCCTCCTGTTATTTGGTCTTCACTTGAAGTAGATGCTAATTTAAGTACAACTGTATTTTTTCAAAATCCAACCTAAGAAAATTACAGGCAAATCTTAAGACAAATCATGTAGCAATATGCTATTAAAATGTGTTTTAACATGATCTATAACATGCTTGTATTAGCATTTTAAGATTATCATGTGACTCAAATTACATCATTTCAAAATTCTCAAGAGAAGTTGTAGACTACTGAGAATATATCCATGCCTCCTAAAATCCTCAAATACCACTTTGTGAAACACTATCCTAGATGATCTGGTTTTTTTGGTTTGAGATAGGGTCTCACTATACAGTTTAGACTGGCTTTGAACTCGCTGTGTAACCTAGTTTTTTTTTTGTTGTTTTTTTTCTGGTACTGGGAATCGAACTCATGACCTCGCGCATGCCATGCAAGCGCTGTGCCGCTGAGCTAAATCCCCAGCCCAATTTGGTGGTTTTGGTTATGTATGCTTTGTGAAATTCCTTAGCATAAATCTCTAATTCCCAAAATGTGTTCCATAGAATTAAAGTTAACAAGCATTTTGTGGGAGATAGAGAAAAATGGGATTCTCTACTCACTTTTGGTAAGCATTGAATTAGAAAAAGTTAAATAGATATTTTCAATATAAGAATGCTGAGACCCTTTAATATGCCAGCACACAATTTGACCCGAGGAACATTTGTCTTTTTTCTCACCTTCAGAGTATTTACAGAACTAATATTTAACAATGTGCTTATAGATTGTCAAATAAATATACCTAGGAGAAGTTGAACTAATAAGGTACTTTAGAGTAAAGGCTGTTTTTAGAACCCTCTATCAGTCATCATCTACATACAAAATAAAAGAATCACTAGGTATATTTTCAGTGCCTTGTGTATTGCTTCGTTCATAATACAGGCTCAATAAATATTTGTTGAATTAATTAAAAATCTTCTGCCAATTGTAGTTGCTTCTATTTTGGTGTCATGATCTATATACAGGACACAGCTTCTGGAGAAAAGACAGTAGTCACAAAACTATTTTTATGTAGCTTTCTTATGTAACCAATAATTATCTTGAGGTACCAGGAAGTAATTTGTTTGGAACATGCATAGTGCAGTGTGTGGGCCCTAGCCACATGTAGCTATTTAAGTTATTTAACAGAAAACAAATTAAAACTTCAATTCCTAAGTGCCACCAGCCACAGATGGGTGCTCAGTAGTCACATGTGAACAATTTATAGATTATAGAACATTTCTATCATCATCCATCTATATTAGATGATTTATATAAATTTAACCTCCAAATACTGACAAGGTAGGGAAAAGATAAAAACTATAGACAGTATAAAATCATCACTTATCAGCTATTTGTCCACCTAAAATTGACAAGTTCTATTGTGGTAAACACAGAATTAATGTAACACAAGAAGCTCACTGATTTTCATTTTAGGAAAAAGCTCGCATTATAGCATTGTAGGCCCTCAGACTTGGCGTCAGCCTCTTCCAAAGGAACACACCAATTTCAAGAGGCAATTTGGATTCTCTGTCATGGATAAGTGGCCTCTAGAAAGTCTATAGTATGAAATGTTACCCAGGTAATAGCGGCTGGCCTGTTTGCTGAAAACAAGTTGTAATACATTTTGTCTCCTTTAACAGCGTCAGTGAACTGAGAAGATAGAGAGGTATTGGCAGGCCAAAATCAAACAAAGTGGGACTCCAAGGAGTATGCACAGCAAGAAAGCTCCTCTTGAACAGAAATTATTTGCTGATTTGGGAAAATTGAAATTCTCTTTGGACAGATTTTCCAGATAACAGAACAAAACTTCAGGCCCTGCTCAATTTGGAAGTCATAGGCTTCAAATTTAAAAGGTGGGACCACAAGGGACAGCACATTTAACATTAGGGGAATCAGAAGTAAAATTCCCTTCTACCTAAGGGAAATAAGCAGAAGAGTGGGAAATTTAAAAGTTGAGAATCAGTACCTATGAAAATGTTGCTACAAGCTGGCCTTCAGGCAAATTGGCATCCAAAATTTACTCCACCTGAGTACATCCTAAAATTCCAGGTCTCTAGTTTTTGTGGAGTGGTCCTTCACTAATAAGAGTCCAAAATGCCTGTGATACAAACCCCTCTAAAAGTTTTTTTCTGTTTTTTTTACAAATATCTAACCCACATCTAATACATCTGCAAATAACACCATGTTCCCACAACTTTTATTTCATGTCATAGTAACAAGAATGACTCTCTTCATATTATCATTTCATCAAATTATAAATTTTATAATTACAAGACACAGCTGACAATGACAACAGACTCTTTGTGGACTGAAAATTAATTGTAGGGGATGGAAGTGCAGGGGGTAGTTAGCCACAGGTATTGCTCATGAACCCACAGCAGTGCTGTAAGGTTAAAGGGGACTCAAAGAGGAAGGCCTTGCCCAAGGTTTACTAGTAGTTGAGTCAAAATAGATGTCAGATCTTCTGATTCCTAATTTGGTACTTTTTAAAAATGGAATTAATCTTGACTTAAAGATCACGCTTTAAAAGTTTTTTCCCCCAAATTCTGGGGATCAAACCCAGGGCCCCACACATGCTAGACCAGTACTCTACCACTGAGCTACACCCCTGCCCCCAAATCTTTTAAGTTATATAAATGATGCTTTTTTGCTATATTACTCTAACAGATTCTGAGAAGCTAAGGGGTAATTCTTGGTGTATTGGTAGATAAAACTTTTACATGTTTCCTTATTATGGAATATTCAATAAAATATTGGTTTCATAACTACTAAAACTACACAGTGGTTGCCTACTATTCTGTAGGAATTATAGATCTGAAATGATTGCATAATAATGATGCCTATTTTCTTGGATAATCCTGTGAACTCATTACATGTTTTCTGCAATTACTGACATTAAACATACTATATTTTAATCTGCAGCAAACTGTACTACATGCAAACACACTGCAGTTAGGGAAGGAATAAAACAAGGGAAATATGAAGATACTCATAAATTGACCTAGTCATAAGCAGGCAAACCCACTTGAATTCTCATAGATATATTGACCCAATCTGTGATTATCATTTGGATCAATGCTGGCTACAGAAAAAGAAAAATCATTTAGCCAAGGGTAGGAGTTGGGGGTGGGGAGAGGTTTGAACTTCAGAGCTCTGAAACAAGCCTGGGAGGACATTCACCTCTGTGTGGCGTAATCCTTTTAGGTATTTAGGAAGCAATAACAACTAAAGTCAATAAATAAGGTCAAGCAGTCCCTGTAAGGCTTGGAGTGTATCATCAGGCAACAAACTAAACAAAGCCCAAATGAGGTCACCAAGGATGAACAAGCAAAACACGACTCTAGTCAGTGAGGTATAGAGTATCAGGATGAGAAGACATGGGGAGAGATTATACCCTATACACTCTTTGTCAGAGAGGGAATGATAGAGACCAAGAATACAGAGATGACTATTAGTTAATATAAAGATCTGTGCAATTTGAGGTTAAAAA